GATAAATAGGGGCGATACGATAGCTACCCTTTAACTGCTAGTAGTGGATATAAATTTCTATAAGCCTATGGTTATTGATATGGACCACTTGGGAGGTCACGCCTCATCTTTCATACTTATTTAGACCAGTTAAAACTAATAGAGAGTTTATTTGCTTGAATAACATTGAATTAATCATTATAAATAATTTAATACTTTTTATTTATTTTAGGTTATTAGGACCATATTATAAATACCTTATAGACTTATACATACATGTGAATTAATATTATACCTCACGGGCTACCAAGTAAGTTAGCATACACATAGGTATATAATAATAAAATAATAAAGTTGTCTTTGTGGTCACCACACTCACTATAGCAATCTGCCACGGGATCAGCGGTACATCACTGCCTTCGACCAGTAGTCTTCCTTCATGAAGGTGGACAGCCTGTTTATGGTACCCAAATAAGGCATTTATGAACTTACTGGAGTGTGAAGTGTCAAAGTCGGTTGATGTCAGTAGTTTGTTTAACTACTATCACTAGATTACTTAACGAAAGACCCCGATACACAACTGTCACAATGTCGTACACATATTGATCACCTGAATTTCGTTTAAACTTATTTATTACATAAAATCCACGCATAATGATAATTTGAAGCCATCTTCCCACTTGTAATTTGAAAAATATACAAATTAAATTAATATATAATATTATGATTAGCTAATAAATAAATAAACTGTGCTAATAGAACTCATATTCTTATTTTAACTATTAATATTGATAACATTTTTAGATTCCTAAAATAATGGTAGTTGCAGGTCCCTACTTCACTACTCCTATTTGAAATCCAGTGTTGCCATCATTTATTCATTCGTGTAGGTCATCATTATTATTTAAGAAGTTACTTTTTACGAGAAGGAATTAACTACTTAGTAGGTACATATTGATGGTTTTTTAGTGTTTATCCCCTCTGGAAGGTTTACAAATATAAGTAATTGTAAAAAAATACTTAAAAACTGCCCTCGTCACTTGTCGGTAGTATAAGCACAAATTCTTTCAAGCTTATATTCCTTAGAGAGTACGAAGTAACAAATATTACACATCATAATAATTATTATCTTTATACATTCTAAGGAATTTCCTTTTTGTATTGTTATTCCTATCTACACTACTATTATATAGTACGTAGAGCGAGTAATGTAGGTATACCGATACATGCATAAAATCCAAAAATTCGCAGTAACGATATAATCAGCTCAAGCAAAACCGGGTTATGTGGCTAGTATATTTTTAATTAACTACGCACAAGACGGCCCTCTCAAGTAGCTGCCTGATAAAATTCACTGTTCAGGAATGTTTGAAGATGCAGCCATATAAAAATTCGAAGAAAGAAGTGTTTATTTCAATCTGTCTGAAAAAATACGGGTTGTGCTACTTAATATTATCTTTCTCAGGTTTCCTGTAACACTAAGAACTTCTACTATACATAGTACTACATACTAGTATTACCAATATAAATGAAATAAATGTATATATTTCGTGATTAAATCCCTAAATATACAATACCTATATATTCCTTTACAATTAGAAAATAATGTTTGTTTATTGAATAACAACTAACAGTTATTCGCGTATATAATATAAAGCACAAACAACTAAATAATATGTCAATTATATGCTTTGTTATCAAAGTACGAAAGCGATTTATTAAGACCACTATCAAAAAGAAACCGTCACGACTACTTTTTAATGAGTAGTTACATAATCTGTACACGCGGAAAGTTGTAGGCCAGATGGGGTAGTGAGAGCCATTGTCAACTGCCGATGTTGTGACAAACACTATATTTAACTCTAACATGGCAGGCTCGCTACCGTCTCTCGCATTTTTTTTTTATTTCTATGTATCCTTTAGTATGAATGTGAGTAAGTCAGTATTAAATTGGCATATAAAGTTTTTTTTTGTACAGGATTTTGTTATGAGAAATGTAAGAACTGAACCAACTTAAGGAATTATTTCAGTTTTAAATAATCATTATTACAATGCGATGTAGACTAACATACACATTATTACGTATATGAAACTTACAAGGGTATAAGCCTTGTTGTTGTTTGCCACCATCGTAGTATAAAAAACTGGATCGAGCGCGTGTCGAGGCCCGAGTAATTCTCTAGTATTAGGTATAGGTATATAGGAAATAGCACTATAACGCCATCTATATTTATTACGGGTAACAAATGAGCAACAAAATTTCGGGTAGTCTTCTAGATACTTTGTAGATTCGACAAAACCTACGATAGAATTTACTTGAACATATAAAACAAAGACAGAGGGCGCGCCGTGACATTAACTTAAAATCCAAGTTAACCGCGAGATGGCGATGGCCTGCACTCTACAGAATTACCTTTTGTTTCTTTTTGATATTTATTGTTACTATATAATATTATGTTATCTGTATTATTACTTAATACATACAAAGACAAATAACTAAAGTTAACTTTTATAAACAGCAAAGAATTAAATAACAAATCCAAATTATTTGTTTACTAAATATCTGCGATTGTTTAATGCAATATTATATATACTTACTCATTTTTTAAAAAACTAGTTACCACCAAAATAATAAATAACGGATTTGCTAATTCCCTGTCGCCACTGTAGAACATATACATATTCCAGCGACCATAGGTTCTGCGACACATATGCCACGAGCCTACTGCCACTTCAATTGGCAAATTCGTAGAGCTATGCGCCGTAACCTTAGTTCTCTGGCGTATTACTTCGTTTCGGATATGATCCCTTCGTGAAATTTCCATCATATCTCTTTCCATAGATCGTTAACCGACTTTGAGTCGATGGACCAGTCGTATAGTCAAGTGTCCGTGTAAATAATAGTTACGGGTAGCACTGGTGAAGCCTTTTTTTTAGGCACAACAAAAAGACATGATGTAATTTCACAAAAACTACCCGGCCAAGATATATGTATCTTGTTCTCCAAGTCACAATACCCTATTATGATTTTATGTAAATTCTAATCAAAATAGTAATTTAAAGTATTTAAAAAATTATTCTAGCGAACTCAAACGTGAGCAATCTAAACGCCAATATGGCGCTATTGGTGTGATATTATATTCTATAACAAAATTAAAACAAATGCTGAGGTTAAAACTCTGATTGAAAGAAATATTGTACTCGAACATGGAACACTTTATAAAACAATAAAAAAAAGCAATGGAAATCATAGCAATGCATTTTTTTTAATTTTATTTACTTGAGACTTTAAATCTGGACTTCATATAAAAATGTGGTTAACATGAAAACAATTTTTTTGATAAATTGTCTTATTGTACCTTTACAAAAGCGCTCTCGGTTATTTTCTAATGCCTATACTGTTATTTCTTAAACATTTAAAGACTGAAAGTCCTATTAAATTGTAATAAGGACAAACATCAGGTACGGACTCAGTAAAATTTCATACAACTGGATCCAAATTGACAAAGTCGAAAAATATATTTTTCAATATTATTTAGAAAAAAATTTAAACTAATTAAAATGTAAAAATATTATTTTATATAAAGCGCAGGCGGGTACACCATTCCATTATCAATTTTAATGGAATATGAATAATTTTTCATAAAAACGTTTAGCATACTAAGGAATAGCATTAAAAAGGTAAATAACAATATAAAAAATGAATTTTATAATTTATTTTAAATACAATGAGATATAAACTAAACATTATTGTAGCTACCCTTAAAGAGCATGACTATTTTAATGACAGTAAAGCTGAAAAAAAGTAATATGACAAAAATAAGTTTTAAGACACATTTACTATACTAAAATGAACCTGCCATGTACTCAGTCGTAATAACATTAATCATATACTATATACTTACTATATTGCTACCATTCACAACCGGAATGAAAATAATAGTATTTAATGATAATTAATTGTTCAGCATGCCCGGCAAATATTATTATTGTGTCAAATAATGTATAATACAATGGATAAATTTAAATTGTTTGCACATATGACTTCAGTAACAATATGACATACATTAAAACATAATGAAATATGATTTCAATGAGATCTCAAACTAATACAACAATTTTATAAATTAATGAAATATATTCATGTATTTCACCGAGCTGATCCAAAAAGAATTTTGTTAATACATTTTGTTTACTAATGCGATACCACTACCACTACAGTGGAACTATTCGTTCCACTATAGAGAATTGTTTCGGAACCCAGCATGTCGAAAAACATTTATAGGCGGTGTTTTTCTGATTCCGATGGAAAACCAAAGAAAATTATAAACACTGCATTTTACCAATTAATATTGTCATAACATAATTCTATGAAGTTTGTGGTGTTCTGTATACATTAGAGTACCACTATCGATTCGGTGAAACGACAACTTAATTATCATTTTAAACAAAACGTGACATATAATCTACAAAACCATTATTATTAGTTAAGTAAAGCAACACATTCAAATTGTTTTATAAAAATGTATAAAAGTTTGGAAAATAATATAATTTAAGGTCAATTAATGCATTTAAATAACGTATACTCTTACGTCATAACTATTCTATTTTATACTAATATTGTACTTCTTGTCTACTCCATTATTTAATATGTATGATGCTACAGACAATAAAGAAAGTGATAATGAATGCCGATATTCTAATAATAAACCGATTTTTAATTACTACGAAACTGCACATATATATTTTTATTATTCATAAAAATCCCAAGTTTATATTTCAGCATAAAAGTAAAACTTTCTAAACCATTACTGATTAAAAATTACTTTAAAGTAAATTCATAATATTGTGAAATATAAATTTTACAATATTACTGATATTCTGAAATTTAAATTGACCAAAATATAAGCTGCTTTTTAAACTTTAATACAATATGAACAAATTCATAAATTAGTAACTATATCGTGTTGTTTAAACTGCGAGAAATACCTACAATAAAAATCTACCATTTTGTTTATCTAATTGTAAGATAGGTCTTGAATAGACTAGGTCTAGAATCTGTATGATAAAAATCATTTAAATCAGTTCAGCGTTTAAGTATTGAAATGAGTTAAAAATATCGGAATATTCAAACATAATTATAAACATGTCATCTATATGGAACTTATAACTACTACTCTCTTACAAAATCGGGCAAGTTTCTTACAAAATCGGCACAGCAGATTCTGGCTGGTACAAAAATCTGTGCAGTACTTAATTATATAAGTTCTATGTCTACATTAGCTTTCTGGCTCATTACTATGCTTCTTGGGTATATTATTATATCAATCTCTAATAATAATTTGTTGTATAGAATGCCAAGTTAATTTAAATATTATTTGCGATAACAAAACTTTTTTAGAAAATTCCAGATTGGCTTCATATAACAATCCCACTAAAAGAACTTATTACACAAGTAATAAAAAATATATATAATAATTTACCTAGACGAGACGCTATATGTTAAACAAATTGATATTGTTGAAATCAGCCTGATTCAATCAAAAGAACTGTTAGAAAAAACATAGACCTTTATAGATTTATAATAAGTTCATATAAATGTAAAAGGCATAGTTTAGAATTGGACCATAATTATTAATAAGTAGCTTTACCTGAAATATGAACAAGACTAGATAACATACAATTTTTAATGTATTAAATTACAACATAACTTTTCAACATTTGTGACAAAAGCAATTGTCACTATATCATGGAGTATTGACGATAAGTAGTAAGAAAGTATTGTTATGTACATCTCCAAAATGCCAATAACAATTGTAATAAATAAATAACCCTGGATAATTAACACAGCGCCATCTAGTCCTACGATAAGCAGAGCTTGTGTTAGGAGTATTAGACAACTGATATAAATACTTAGATATTGCTTTTTGTAATTACATACATAAAACACCCAGATCGATATAAACAATTATAAATTATAATAACATACTTATGAATACAAACGTTTGCACCGTGCGTAGAATCGAACCTGCGGTCATCGGAAGTAAAGCGGTATGCTGAAGGCTAGACCACCGAGGCCGTCGAATCATTACAGAAATTCGTGATGTACATTAATACAAATTTACCTTTAAAAGGGTATATATTAAAGTGGATGGCACCGGCGAGCAAATATATTTTCGCCATCAAGTCATCAATACTCCTCGAAAATTATATGTGTACTTTCAAAATTCTCAGTAAATAATCTTGCTGGGTGGCGCAGCTAAATTACCACTCATCGCTTGTTCTAATGTATCCAGACGTCGATACGCATGTCCACGGCTGTTACGGCGGCGACCAGGTTGCCTTCCTTCTACTATTAAACCAAGGACCTGTAAATTTAATTATTTTCATCATATTTTGCTTGTCATGGCAACCTATGATTTATTCAAAATATTTTTCTTTCATCTCATTATCGAAACGAAACGATACGACGAAAAATAATGTAACGAAAATTTTTTTTTTTTAGTAATAGTATGTTTATTTAAATGTGAAAGTTTGTACAGATGTACACAGTTTGAATGTATGTTACATAAACAATTCGAGGACAACCGATGAATTTTGTTATCTCTGTATATTTGTGAAATTACTTATTCTAAAGTAAGCAGACACTGTCGCAAGATATACAATATATACAATAACGAAAGAGCTAATAAATGCTGATGTGATACAATGGAAAACGGCGAGTATCACTTAGATATGACCAACACAATGTACATACATTCAAATGTACTGTGCTTGTAGGTTTTCTGTAAATTATTTTACATATAAAACAATTACTTGCTGCAATTACTGCTTCATGTTTGAAAATCGGGCAAAGGAGATGCTCACTTCATATTCGAAATAGAATTCTATGGTGTTTACCCACACAAGTTTTAGAATATTCTTTTACTAATATAATTAGTATGCCAAGGCTATGTGAGTATGCTATGAGTATGTAAAACACATTTTTATCTATGTAAATTTTATAGATCAATTTGGACAATTAATTCAACTATATTTGCTAAAAAATATGATAGATAATACAATATGAAAATAGCATTTAACAATAAATGCTTACCACTTTGCTTACTTTATTCTTGTTGTGATATAAAACATACAGCAAAACTACTAGAATAATAGCGGTCAAGAAGAATGGAAAGAAATGATCGTCATCCTCAGTGAAGTCCTCCTGGATTGTGTTGGGATAAAATTCTGAAAATAGCAAATTAAAAAAATTTGAAATCATTGTCGGATTATCGAAAATATCTTTATTCAATTACAGGAAACTATCTTTATGATTGAAAAGTTAAATACTTTAAAAGAAAATGAGTTACACAATAGTTTAAGAGTCTGTAAAAATATTGTGTAACAAACAAAATAAATACAGGTGAGTTGAGAACTACTCTTTTAATCTGTATAAATAAATTACTGAATGTGTTTTTTTGTTCTTTACTTAATTGTCATGACAAGGTTTGTATGAAAAATAAATTTAAAAAATCTGATTTTATTGCGAAATAATACGAGATTAGATCTTATATTTATAAAATTATTTAATAAATATAAATATTTATGACCTCTTTGAGAAATATCAGCATTAAAAGAATTTGATTGAATTGAAGATTGTATTCTTTTAGGTATATTCTTGCTTTCATCCAGAACAGGTTTAACATCCAAATCTGACAAATCAGGATCATCTCCATCGTCATTGCCTAGAGTATCTGAAAGACCTTCTTTGCCTTCTTCAGAATCTGCAAAATATTAAATTATTATGATAATATACAAAATAACTTCCACTCTTAAAACTTATTTAAAATTGATTTGCTAAATACTATAGTATTCTATGATATTTTTCATTGGTATAAGGTATAGAAAACACCACTAAAATATATTATAATAAAACTTATGTCATAAAATAATACCTAAAATAGTAATAAAAGTAAGATACTTTGAAAATAGTACCAATGTTTTAGTGGTAATACTAGTAGCATTATGTAATTTTGTATTATTTTTTAGAATTAAATATGATAACAAAGTTTGCATTCAAACTATGTGTAAGTGTAAATATATAAGTACCTCTGTAAAAAATGAGTCTCAACCCTTCTCTATAATGCTTTATTTGTCTTCATTCACAAAGAAAATAAAACAAAATTCAATTAAAACACTGCCTTACTTTATAAAATGTTCATACAATTATAAATTTAAAAAAAATGTAATGTGGTTAATTTATATATAGTTGAAGTGGGAGTGAGAGATATTCCAGTGAAATCTCTCTACAATCTTAGATCTAAAGATTAGACTGTTTAGGTCTGCAGTAAGTTCTATACCAGAATGTGTATCTAAAGTAGCACTAGCAGGCTCTTAATAGATTTGGCTGGGTAGGAAGAGAAGCTCAAGTGGTGATGGTAAGTGTTGACAGACATCGGCAAAGGGGCCTCTTAAACCTAAACGAGGGTCCTGAGACCTGTACAGTATCCCTCTTTGTCATACAATGAATCCATGGAATGCTAAGGAGATCCTCTAATTGTTATTAATCTCCCTGTCAACTTGTTTATACATGGGGTAATCTAGGATGCTCCTGATCATAGCTGTGATTTCGCAAATTTTTGTGTAGAAATTTAATGTACTTAATATAAATCAAGTTTTAAAACTAACATTATACATAAAATTAGTGGGCATTTCTAAGAATAAAGTCTGATTATAAGATATGTTAACTGTTTTAGATAAGATAATTTATACCTTTATACTTAAATCATTTAGAAACATATAATTGTATTTAACATATAATTATATTTTATTATGCATGAATATGAAACAGCCTGTACTAACTACAGCAGGTAGGGCAGCAATTGGAAATAATATGATGAATATGTTAAAAAGAATTGAATAATAAAGAAATTTAAATTGTGCGGAAATTGATGACATGTAATTAATGATGTCTTTTTATGGTATTATCAAAGGTCACTCACATACAGTTGATTTTATATTTTTTATATTATATTATATATGTTTTTAAAAATATCATTCTGTAACTTGGATTTTATACTGATACAATAATATTCAGAAGTCAATGCAGTAGCAATATCAGTATCAAACAAAATTTATTACACTTATTTAATGTTCAACTGTAAATAAACTGAGATAAGGCATAGTTGTATGTTTATTTTAAATACTGCAAAGTAATATTATTTAAGACATTTATAATATTGATTATGTAAGCAACTATTTACCGGAAGTAATCTGTAGTCTTACTTCAGTTTTACCTATATAAGCTGCCTAACCTTGATTTGAAAATTGCTTACTTTCAAATCAAAGTTAGGCAGTGAAATTATGGGATAAGAGGCAATCCAGGAATTAATACCTGGCATGGTATGGATGGTAACATATAAGGCGTACCCTTACCATCTGGTAGGGTAACTTGTTTGCCATTCCAATGACATAAAAAAAGTTGGACTCACTTTTGTAGCATTACAAAAGTGAGTCCAACTCATTATACATGCACATGTGCATACATGTGCCATGTATAATGAGTTTCATCATTAATTACTTACCTAACTCATTGCCCTGATAATCATCAGCATCACTTTGTTTTATATCCTTAGGAATTTCAATTTGATTTAGCAAGTTGTTCGCACCTTCCTCTTTCTTCACATCAGGCTGAGGTATCACTACATTATTAAGCTGATCACCAGATACACTTATTGGTATGTTTACAGGCAGATCTACACCAGTACTTTTGATATTTTCACCAGGATTTTTTATATTTTCACTGGTACTTTTCACATTTTCACTGGTAGGTTTCACATTTTCAGCTGAACCCTTCACATTTTCGCTTGAAACTTTCACATTTTCATCAGGACTTTTAACATTTTCATTAGGACTGATAACATTTTCATCAGAACCTTTTGCATTTGCATCTACTTTCTTAATGTTGCTAATAGGCTGTACATTGTTTATTTCGCTAACTTTTTCAGGTGCGTTAGATATAACCTCAGGTGTCTCTTTGTTAAGAGTGGAAATTGGACCAATAGAATCAGCATTTACATCATTTGTTTTTATGGAACTAGTTTTCACTGAGGTTAATTCAGTTTTTATATCACTCTGCTTCAAATTAGGAACAATATCTTTATCTTTTTCATCACTATTGTTAACTTGTGTTTCATCCGTTTTGACACCAGTTGCTGAGGTATCACTCACAACTGGTATAACCACACTGCTTACTTGTGGTGTAGACTTTGGCTGAGGATTCAACATTTCCCATCCCCAATTGTAATATTTACAATAGAAAATTGAGTCATCACTGTTAAAATCTTCAACTTCACATAAAGATGCACATTTGAAGGAATTTTGAAAAACCAGTTTTACATCTGCCAAGTACTTTTCAGATAAATTTGAGAAAGTCCAGCCACTAGCTGCCTCGCAAAGACTTTTGACATCATGCTTTTTATTTATTTTTTCCGTATAATCTTCAGTAATGTTTAGTTTCAACTGAGAGACCGCTGTACACAACTGATTGTTTATATCATAGAATATCAAACATTCGAATTTCCTTTTCATACTAGGATTCAACTCATTGCATTCTTCAATTTGATTTTCAATGTGTGTTACCACGAAACTATTTTGACAACGTTTTGCAAGAGCGGTTAGTAAAGTAGCCAAGTTATTGGGTGGTGCACCCAAGCTTCCAAAATATGAGTTTATGATTAACAAAGGTAGCACATATCGTAACATTTTTGTACACTATACTTTTCAAACAAACTATATATATTATCAAATAAACTGACTAGCTAATCAGGATTCTGGAAAGTGTATTATGACTTTCATCAAAAACGAAATGAAACTGTAAATGTAAAACAAATTGCGACAGACAGCGAGTGACTGACTTTCACTGTCAGTCTGTCAGTCTTACTAATACACAACATATTTTGACACTTTATGTTGATGTTGACATTCATTTTTCAAAGAAGACTACTTGACTACTGTATCTAAGAAAAGGAACTATTAAAAAAATATCTTCAATAAAATGAAATAATAACTAAAACAAGCATTTTAACTTATGCAGTTAAAAGAAATCGCAAGTACATATATTAATAAGATTCTTTTGTAAGATTGTCACCTGTTATGCATATTTCTACGGTGAAAACTTAGACGTTTTCGCCGTAGAAATATCAATTTGCGCTAAATTTGGGCCTTCTAATTAAAACTCATCAAAGTATTTAAATATTGTAATAATCAGGTATTTCGTACCAATACATTTTTTTATAATTATATAAATACCTATATGTACTAGCTTTTGCTCGACTTCGCTCGCGTTAATTTATCCCCTTAGGGGTGGAATTTATCAAAATCCTTTCTTAGCGGATTCCTACGTCATTAGATCTACCTGCATGCCAAATTTCAGCCCGATCCGTCCAGTGGTTTGGGCTGTGCGTTGATAGATCACTACGTCAGTCACCTTTGAGTTATTGTACAACTGTTCGAAAGAGTGGGAGGGGGAAAGGTTTTTGTGGGTTAGGTCGTCATCTGCCCTGGAAACCATCAATTATTTAGGAATACGTTACGATTTGCTAACTAAACTAATTTGATACTTATCCTGTCATGTCATCCACTGGTGTCTCGTCGGAGTAGCTAGATACGAATGGCACACTGCGCTGGTGAACTATTTATTTATTAGCGAAGCTATAAAAAACAATTTCTGTATTTTTACATGGCCACAAAAAAAAATACAAACAACAACAAAAGTATTGAAACAGTTTAATAAATTTCGTATAGCTACATAAGAATTTATATATGAGATAATTTTATTTGTTAGGTATATTTTGTTGTATTTTATTAATTTTATTTTATTATGAAATATCTATTTTAATTGTGGCTATACCTATATTAGATACTCACATGCACCACTGCTTTTTAATTAGTATTCAGGTACATATCTATATTTAATTTAGCCTTCTTACTTAAATTTATCCATCCTTTGACTTTTAAAGTCCTTAAAACCTCTACTACCATAACCTTTTCGATTTCTATCATTCACAATATTTCACTATTAATTAGGTTTTTGTTGTGAAATGTGAGAATTATTTTTTTAAATTGATAAAACTTGTAACAAAATAAATGTAGGTAATTCCGTATTTTTGTAAAATCTAAAGAAAATATAACGTTTACATTTTAATTTATTTTCCACATAGGTACTAACTAGTTTCAGATGCATATAACTTAACGTTCTCCTATTGACTGAATATACCGGTCCATATACGCACTGGGGTTCTGAAATATTACCTATACCTAACTGGCCGGTAATAAAGGTAACATTCTTTTATATAATAAAAAAAAGAATATACGCCGTATTTTGACATTATTAATAAATAGGTATATCTTAAGAACAAACATTTTGGCTATTAGTTGCCGCACAATTGGAGACTCTACAAGTTTGTGGAAAAACGCCCTGTTAGGTCCGGTTAAGTTTCATCCTGTAGAGGCTATTTACATGGTCGCTTCATCAATATTTAGGTATATTTAGGTGTATGTTTTTAGTTTATAATTATTTGTTGTAAATTTTGTCAAATACAGAATTATGTTTAAAAATGTCCAATACCGTCGCTACTATATTGTTTATTGACTATTCTTTAATTCTTTAATATTACGAAGACACTATTACTTATATAAATTTTAGTAGGTATAGTGGGTTTTAAAACTGCTCATGAAAGTGAGTGATACTAAACGGTAGTAGGTGTGGTAAATATGTGTGTGGGCAAAGAAATAAGTGCGCTAGTTTGAGTTCTTCAAAAATGCGTAAAAAGTATAAGAACTTCGTACAATCTGTAACAAAATACAATTCAATTCATTATCATCCTTACTAATGTTATAAATAGGAAAGATATATTTTTTTTATTATTTATGTTTTTATTATCGTCTTTACTATTGCGTGGCTTTACTGAGTTACGTTTTAGTAGTTATGTGATGTAGGTATGTGTTAGGGATAACTGGATAAGGAGATGTCATTTCTTAGTCTCCAGGAATGGCAGCTTGAATTGTACATATCACTGACCTCATAAGGTAATTAACTTGAGTATATGGGTAACGGTTACCACTTACCATCAGGTAGATAGTCAATTTGATTGCCCTCCAAATCTCTCCCTATAGCAAAATTCCTTTAAAAGAAGTAAAATACCAAATTTGATGCAATACTTGTGATAATGTCACAGCAGTTCAGCTTTCAGATTCTTCAGTTTCTGTATTATTAGATATACCTATTATTTATTAACTTATAGGTAGCTCTTATTATAAGTTAAAATTAACCACTGATTTATGATCTAAATACGTAAAAATGACATCAATTATCCGATATATCTAACTAAATCTAAAAAAAACAATATAGATACATCTAAGATTTACCGATACGAATGTGGCATTGGAAAATGGTACAATGTAACAAGCCATTGGTGTAATGGGACGTTTGATTCTCTCCATGAAAATGATAATGGTCCGTCGTAGTTTTACTGGTAAATCCAGCCAGTTCATAGAGTACACAGATCCCGTTAATATTTCACTCTGTAAACGATTTCCGAAGTTTATTATTATACATAATATTTATTACAACAAACAATAGCTAAATGTATGTCAGACAGCATCATTTTAAAACGACCACACCGATTTCGCTAATCTTAAAAATAATAGCAACTTCTTCCCACCCACCTCATATGTAACTTCACTTCCAAAATAACAGTAAATGAATACTTGTAATAAGATACAACTTATGTACATCAGCATAGACAAAAACTCCACGGATACGGGTGTAACCTGAAATCGAAATTATATTCACTCGGTCACTTCGAGTACTAATAGGCATTCATAGGAAAAACCACTAGCCAGCAGGTAATTACAATTATTAGCTTCTGTATACCTAATCATTGGACTCTCGAACTTTTTTGTAAACTCATAGTATATTTTTGGCCCTCCATATCTACTGCTTTGAATCTGGAATATTAAAGCTATAAAGTGAATTAAATCGAAAAAATAAAAAATTGTTATCTACAGCAGAATGTTTTCTCCCTTTTATTTGTTACTATGGCTATGGTGTTGCTTAAAGATTTCTACCGATATATGCACATAAATCAGTACGACAGTTGGACTATTAAAAATTGTTAAAGCAGTAAGTACCTGCTATAAAACTTTACAAAACAATCGTGACCTATCCCGCGTACAGAAATAGAGGAGAGCTCAAAATTAATAAAAAAAATGCAGTTTCTGATGATATTGGGTTAGGCGTTATATTTATAAACTGGTGCTCTGATCAAGACCTAAACTCGGTTTTAAATAGGGCTGGATTTCAAAGAGTTGTGTCCTTCACGATCTCCCGTGTCTAAGTGCCACGTGAAGTAGGCACTCAGCGCTCAAATTTACTTACACTGGCCATTCTATAAGCCGATGTGCATAGTATCCAGCCCGCTACCAATAGCTGATAAAAGACAGCATAACCAAATATATCTTGAATCTTTTCGGCCATTCTGAAATATAAGTATATGTTTTTTAACTTTATTTATTAGATAGTTGTTGTGTATGTAAATAGAATTACTACAACAAATATTACTTCACAATTTGACTGTGATGTATTAATATTTTCTTAATACGTCTCTCAGCAATAGAGACGAAATCGCTGGATAATTCCATTGCTTCCTCTTGACTTCTCAACACTAGGCTTTGGAGTTCTACTCTGAAAAAGGTTAATATATGAGATTCATTAAATTTTTCTGAAAATCAATTATATAAATTGTTTTGCTATGTACCTGTAATATAATGGTAATTAATAATTGTAATTAAAACAACAAAAAAATTATAATATTTTATATACTATGTTTTGTACCTAGAGAAGAAATCATTTTAATTTATATTTTAGAAATAAGGAATTTCTATCAATTCTATAGCGCAAGTTCTGCTTATTTTGAGATTAAGTAGTATTTAGGTACTTATTATCATTATACAAAAATGGTTACCTGATAATAGATATCTGTGCTTTACACTGCACCAATAAAAAGACTATAAGGACATCAATCGTACTATTCGCGTAGCCCTCCCACGTTGTCTGAGTAATAATGTAAAGAGCAGCGAAGTAGTATCTATCGACATAGAACATTCATTCATCTTAATCTTAATAATATTATAAATACGAAAGTTTATAAGTATGGATGTTTGTTACTCATTCTCGCAAAAACTACTGAACCGATTTCGATGAAACTTTACAGTAATATAGCTTATGCATCAAAATAAGACGTAGGCTATATTTGATATTGAAATTTTACGCGGGTGAAACCGCGGGCACAACTTGTTATAAAGAAAAGTATATTAGTATAGCTAGAATATTGCAATATTTAATAAATATATATTTTGAATATACGAAAGTAGCGTGACCAATTCGTGATGTGATGTCACAGTGCGTGAGGCGTCGGCTTTACAAATTAACCTGATAACTTACATGCACTTGAAATTGACAAGCTGTACTTGTAGAATATGTTACGTATTTATAAACTCTATTTCAGTTATTTACCACCTCTTTTAAGTACTAGATACAGAGTAAATTACTTGGTTGTTACGACTTTATGAAAGTATTTTAACAATTAGTTACTACTATTATTACTATTAATTACATGAGATTGTATTATGTAATTTTTATATAAAAAAATCATCTCTTCAAAAGAGCAACACACAAGTTTCTTGCTTCTTCTTTCTTTTACTATTCAAAAGTGCTTGTATTGAGTTTATTTGAATAAAGATTATTTCTATTTCTATTTATTTCACGTATCATAGGTATTGATTGATCATAAAAGCATTTTATTTAATACTAGGAAAATGTTAGTATGGGGCTAATATTTTCTAAATAAATTGGCATGTTATAGGACTATATTATGCGAATATTGAAGATCCAATAATCCGTCATAGTTAAACAGACTTTGGTATTATTTAGGCTATTTGAGGGAAAAGTAATTTTCGAAGCTCCTTGAAATATAAACCAAAACCTGCACATACATCTCCAAAACAAAGATAAATATTTACCGTGGGTTTGAGTTGTATTCAAACGGCAGCCATACTGGAAATTCAATTATTTTTCCTTGAATGTGCTTTATGGTTGGATGTAGAACCCAAAGACAACAGGTAATAATACACATGTAGTTAAACGTTCGCAGAACAATAAGTGCCTGTCTTCCAGCTTCTAGTAAGATTGGTCGATGTTCGGGATCACCTTGATTATATAGAGATCCTGATAAAAGTTAAATAGAAGTAATTAGATTATTCGATATTCAAATTAATAAGAATAAAAATGTAGTATAAATAAGCTGTTCCAATGATAATTGCTGTGTTTATACAATAAAGAAATGAAGAAAAAACTATGAATAATGGAATGTAAAACTGTATAAGCGTACATACCTACAGTCTATACATATAAATAAAATTGGAGTGTCTGTTTGTAATATTGAAATAACCGTTTTTTACTACATGCATATGAATATGAATACGGTACATACACCAAAATAACATTTTTTACAATTTTTGTCTGTCAGTTTGTTCCGGCTAATCTCCGAAATGGCTGGACCGATTTTTTGGCAGGTAGCTGATGTAATATGGAGTAACTTAGACTACTTTTATTTTAGAATATTAGTTTTATTTTAGAAAAATAAAGTTAAATTCCATGTCGCGGGAACAGCTTTTATATTATATATTTACATGTAACACTTACATAATAATAATAGGTACATTTTCTATAATATTTTGTTAAAAATGAAACCGCCTAAGAGCATGTTGGCTAAATGGAATCAACAGCATTTTCCATTTACAAAGTAGTTAGTTACCTTTCATAACATCAAAAAGCTCTTCGATTTCATCTGTTTTCATCATTACAACGACGGCTTTAAAGATACAGTCAGTGTATGTTAAAAATAAAAACATTGTACTCATTACTTTGTCGGCATCGTCACGCACCTGAAAATTTATACAACAGTAACAAAAAATGTAACAAAATACAGCATTGTAAATATATAAATACCAAAATAAAAAATTTACTGATTGATCTAGAAACATGTTTAGTTCGGACAAGGGTCCTTATTATTTATATACCCACGTAAATGAGGACTATAAAAAATGGAAATAATCAATGAATGAAAATTCTTTATGAAATTATTTTTACGAGAATAATAAAATGTATAATATTATTAATTCTTGAAATTATAATAATAGCAATATGCTTTCAATTATAATTTCATACTTTCTTATTGGTTCCCATTGGTAATGGGATAACAATCAACCCAAGTTTATAGCCTGGCTTCATGGTCAGGTAGTTCTTTGAACTGAATATGGAGGAATTGTATGTTTATAAGAAGAAATTTTCTAAAATTCCCGCCTAACAAAAGGTTAAAAATCTTTAGAAATAGCTTCAATACTCTATTTTAAATACAAATTAACTCACTTCCAAGAGTTTCAAAAATTGCTGAATACAATACAATACAAATAATGAAAGAATCAAACGCATATAAATGTAATGCATGATTCGATACACCTTTGGTGCTTTCGTATCTAATTGGTAAAAACCTAGCATTCTCATTATTCTCACATGTGGTATTAAACTAGCATAAGATAACTGGTTTTCCATTTTTGGAGCTGTGGTGTAGTTATTGTAGCAGTAAATAATAATCAACTGAAGTTAATATCGACAACGACTTATTACTGCGTAGTTTTATATTCCTTAAGTAAATTGCAGTGTTGTCACTTTTACCTTCTCACTATTTTCCAAGGGAATCAATTAAGCTTGTCTAATAGAACTATTATGCAAGATGTATAATTATTTATAGGTGGTATTTAAATTATTATACTATGTTTGAAGGATTTTTAGTTGTACAATTGTACCTAATATAAAAAAATTCGTTGAAGATTGAATGAATGAATTGTTTATTTACATTAAATTATACGTATGTTGTTGGAATACAATATAGTTGAGTTTATTGAGTATTGATTGGCTCATCCGTCATACTCGTAAAATAGTAACACTAACTAAAATATTAACACTGAGAGGTGAAAAGTAATTTAGTTTTGTTATTGAAAATTAGTAATCTACATTATTATTACTTCTTTCGTTTTGTATATAGGTTAAATTTTATTTCAATTAAATTTAGCAAAAATGTGTTTATTAATTTCGATATCTGAATTACTTATTTATAAATGAACGCCCACTGTTTACCACACATATCAACCCTCATTCAAGTTTCCCTGTCACTCATTAGTGTAATTAGATATTTATATATAGACAGGCAATCATGACATATAATTATATCAGTGTCGCATACTGCTATAATACCTAAGTCCTTTATTAACATATAATTGTTTTACTTTAATAACTTATAGGGTTGTCATTCTCAGTCAGTCTCAGTGTAAGCGCGATCCGATGTGCACGTATTATAATTATTTTATTTAATATCGTAATTGCTCAGCGCGGCATAAGCCGTGCTAGTCGAAGTTCCAGCCATGTGTGACAAACTTGTGGCCAACGAACTCCTTGCGTTCCTGCAGCAGAAGCTGGACGTAATGGACGAAGTAAGTGCAGTCCAGATCTGTGTGTCCAACTTCAGCCAGGACGACATCGCGAGAGCGAAGGCTCTGCTCTTCGAGTCCCTAAATAAGACTGATCAGATGGTGTCTCGTAGACGTGACGGGACACAAAAAAGCGTACAGGACATTATAACGCTGCTGAAGGAGACCGATCCAGACGACGTGCCGACTTTTGTGGCGAAGGATTTAAACAAACTTCCTCCAGTCACATTTGATCACGTCGATGTTACCAGCCTACTCAAGGATATCGTGTCCTTAAAAAAGAGTATGGCAGATGTGACGCTACGTTTCAATGCGTCAGAGCACATAATTAGTGAGTTGCGCAAGGAAGTGGACAGTTTGCGCGACTCGCGAAAAGAAACTAGGTCACTTGACGCTACGAACATCAACACGCGCCGTGGGGCATGCCGCGATGCGTTCACGGCGGAGTCAGCGGTTTCGGCGTCGACACTGACGTCACCAGATGTGGTGTCACCGCTGGCCGCCGCGCCCCCCGTGCTCCCCGCCCGCAGCTCGCGAGCGCCGATACCGCTGCATGTGGAAGCAGCGCTAACAAAATTCTCGGTGCAACCACAGCGTCGAGATTTTGCCGCCGTCGTCGCTAGCAAACCGGCTGCTTCAGTACAGCGGCGTGTGCCAAAAACGGCACTGAACATTGACCCTATGCGTGCTGCCACTGGGAACCGCGACGATGATGGCTTCGTCGTGGTACAAAAGAAGAGGCGCACAAACAGGGGCAATAGGAATCATTGTGGCACTGCACTCACTGGGCCCAACTTTCTGCTGCGTGCTGCTACACCGACCACGACAATGTACCTGTCCCGTCTACATTACGCCACTAAGGAGCAGGACATTGTCGATTATATTCGTACCAAGAGTAACCTGACATTGAGGGTGACGCAGGCTGAAGTCGAGTCACAACGCGAGTTTCAAAGCGTTTGTGGCCCTGGTCCCCACCGACTTGCTGCCCACCTTCATGAAAGAGGACTACTGGCCGAAAGGTGTGGTGTATCGGCGCTACCGTGGCAGATTGCCGTCTTCAGTGCCGTGATCACACAGACAATATTATTGTATTAGTTTTTAAATATTATATTATATGTATGTTAGTCTATAAGGTATTTATAATATGGGCCTAGTTGCCTGAAATAAATGAATAAATAAAATAAAAAAAAATATAAGCTTGACCCTTAAAAGATAGTTATTATTTATTTGTCAGATGTAAATTGTTTAAATACTACTATATACACCTACTATGCAGTCTTTTTATTAAGATTCTATTCTAGTATAGGATGAATGTTGTTTTAGTTATCTAAACATGATTTGACCATCAGTTTCCATAAGTTTGAAGCAAGTAGTCGGTCCTGAAACCTTTGCTTTGTATCTATTTTGGTTCAAATAGCCTTAATAGGTATTTTACTCTATGGCTTACATAGTTATAGACATTGCAAAATCACAATTTGTCTTGAAAACTAAACTGCACTATTACTAAATATGTGTACATTCCTGTCTATAATGGCTAAAATAACATAATGCAGAAGAGAGGTAAATAACAGACCAATAGTCACAGAAAAAGATCAAAATTTCAACGTAAAACTCTCGGCACGAATAACCGAATGAATGTAGAGATCTCAGTTTTATAAAAATAGTCATCAGAGATGCAGGCCAGAGAGAGAGCTCGTTGCTCTCACTCTGGCTCCAGCTCTCAAGTCAAATTAGTGTAGTGTAGACTATAGAATTTACTGTGCGTAGGCACAGCACAGTAAATTCTGTGATGATAATGTTATTGCTATACGAAATTTACATATATTATTTTCCATTATACAGGCTTCTTCGAATATTGTTTGTGTTTGATGCAAACTCAATATTTATTCGTGCACTAGTCATTCAACATTGCTTCCATCCAGAAAAAAATATATTAGAGGTAGCCTATATTTATTTATACTATTTTTAATGATGTATGTACACAGGATCGACGCGCCTGCCCTAAAAGATGATGACACAGTTTTACTACGATAATTAAACCAAATAAATCAAAAGGTAACATAAAGGAAATATTATATTATTTCTATAAATAAATATTAATGTATATATAATAATAATAATAAACAACCCGGAACAATTAACACGCCATCTAGTCCCACGGTAAACAGAGTTATGAGTACTAGATAACTGATATAAATAATTAGATTTTTTTTGTTAGTACATACATACCATACATAGAAAACACCCAGACCTATATAAACAATCATATTCATTAATTAATACAAATTTTTGCACCGTGCGAGGACTCGAACCCGTGCCCATCAGAAATAAAGCGCTGTGTTAAACCGCTAGACCATCGAAGCCGTCATAAACAACCTTTTATTTGGCAAAATTAAAGTGAATGACGTAAGAGTAATTTTAATAGAATAAGACTAATACCAGTAATTAGTCTTATCCTGATTAAAGTAAATACTTAAACTGATGTTTAAAGTAAATACAGTGGAATGGTAACCCTACTAAAATGATACAAGTAAAGGCGATAGAGGGGATGAGAAGTGTCTCAAGAGTCTTAAGTTGCCAGCGTAGCGCCCTCGTCACGTTTACTTCGTAGATTACAAAATGAGCAGTCGTTAGCGATATGTTATTGCTCACTTAAATCTCACAACGGGTCTGTTGTTAACGACTCCGCTAACTCATATTGTGTGGATAGCCTGTTAAAACCACTAAAGTTACGTTGTACAACAACTATGCTATTTGTCTTTGTTTTATACGATGTCAGACGTTAATATTCTACGGCAAAAAACATAGAACATCACTTGTAAAAAAAATAAAATGATTATATTAATACTAGTATTTACCTTCAAGTTTTTGGCGGTTTCTAATATTAATTAATAGTTTTAGTAGTTTTTACTAGCAATGCTCATTTTTTAAAAACTTCTTAGTGGATATTCTTAATTCCTGTCTTCGTGTCTATATCAATTTACAGATTCTTTTTCATGTAATTCGAATGGAAAATAAGTTGAGATCTGATCTGAACATAAATAACAACTATAGCCTATACAATTAACCAGAACCTCATATATGATGTCATCATGTGATACTCTTGGTATACCTAATTCCGGAGAATATATTATGCCTATTCATTTATTACATATCTCATTCTTACAAGTTACAAAAGCAATCTGCTACGCGACTTTAGTAAGTAATACTGAGGTGCCCACGGAGATCACTTTGTTCAAAATCTACCTCGATAAAAAGTTATGCGATGTACGTAAATGTATTTCCCATTCCGATTTCGTTAATAAAACAACAACAACATTTCCAAATCTCTACCCTTCCACTGCCCTATATTTGTGGTATAGCAGTGTTTAGATAAACACACGATATAATTAATACATGCAAACATTTAAGACCAAAGTAATGGTTAAAAAAAATCAAACAAATTACGGATAGGATGAGAAAAAATACAAATTATAGAATGTAAATATTTTTACTGATAATAAATACAAAGTCCTAACCGGATTTGCTTTGATTAAAATATGGTGTATTTTTAATACAATAACGGGATTTATATGCGAAATATTTTTAATCTATACTTCTACTATTAAGAGAAAGTCTTATCTATTTATTTTGAATAAATAAATAAATGAGAGTGAACGTTTGTGAGTTTGTGCGCATGTGGAGAGCACTCCGAGGAACCACTACCAACGCATGTGAAAATTTCTATTACAATTTCAAAGGTTCGTTTTTCTATTAAAATAAGCTATGACGTATTGCTTTTTTATGGCTTGGGCGAAGTCGGGACAGCTCGCTAGTTAAGTATACTTTTACTTACGTTACTTAAAATTATATACCTATATTTGGTCGGCTAAATTATTATTGACAACATGTAATACAAAGGTTCCCTAAGAGAGCTTTATCCGGCTTTGTCATTATAATAGGATCTTAATCGGGGCGATTATACGTCTAATGTACCTATTCAAGTCAATGACAATTATAATAGGATTATATCAGTATTGATATATTTAATATATAGGAGTAGCATACGTTACTGTGAGTAAGTTT